TTTGTGGGCGATCTCGAGAAACAACAGCTATGAACATTTTTTTTTAAACTTCCAGACTTGTATCAGAATATAGATATATATATATATAAATATTCATAATATACATCTTTGAGATCTTTTTACAAAAGAACTGTCTGATTACAATAAAAGAATTCATGCATGTGACGGCCATCATAAATGGGCCTCCATAACTGCGTTTTTTCCCATTAACATGCGAAGTCTGTGTTTGAGAGCTGCAGTCTGATATTTGTTTTTTCGCTGCTGTCAATCAAAAAAATATGAAAGGTACCGACTTATTAGATTTGATTGATAGCAGCGAAAAACCAAATTTCAGCGTGCAGATCCCAGACACAGAGTTCGGTATGTTTATGAATGATTGAGGAAATGAAAGTTCAATGATCGACGTTATCAAGCATCAAGTCACATCGTATGTCATATGCTTCGAATTCGTTGTGGTTTACTTTTCCGTGGACGATCGTCCCAAACAAATTCTACAGTGAATGCACTGAATTGCTTTGCTTGATGTAGCAACGTTGACTACAGACCTAAGGTACTGACACGTAAGAATATATAGTCCTTATTTTCTTACATATATATATTATATACGACAATTTTTATTAAAAACTTTGAGGATCTTAATAGGGCCTGTATATATATATACATGTATACAATACCGAACTTAAATTAGTAACTATATGATAAAACGAATAAAACAAGTTTTTCCGTGTTTTTCCGTGCTCCGTTCAGAAATAAAGCCACTTCCTGCGTGTTTAATTACTGAACGAAGCACGGAAAAAGCTGTTTTATTTTATAAATATACACATATACGTTGTGTACATACATGCATATATCGCGTGTATCAACTTCTAATAGAACCAGATTAATAACTATGGCACATATATCCACCAAGTCTTTAAAAACTTTGAAGATCTTACTTTTAGATCATATATACATTTATATGTATGCATATATATATGGGGTAACAACTTTTAATCAGAACCAAATAAGATACTGGGTATATGCAAGTCAGGCGACATTAGAGGGTCACAGGCTTGTTTGCATATTGCTATTAAGTTTTACCTCAGCAAATAAG